AAGCTAGCAATTGCTAAAAAACAAATAAAATAACTAAATAAATAGTTTTTATTACTTTCCTCAAGTAAATCATAATAAGTGAATTTATTTTAATAGTATGTTTTTCTACCCATAATCCTGAGCTGATTTTGAATTTGTGCTTTAGTAGTAAAAAATAAACATATAGTTTCTTAACAAGAAAAAAAATTATAGATTATACTAATGTTTTTTATTATGCATGAGTGTGGTACTTGATAATAAGGTTTTGTGTCAGCAGGAGATAAAGTTATGTGATAAAAATTATTTTATTATAAAATCAAGAGATTTTGCCCCAATCTGCATTATGTAATTTCTTTCTGTTTCTGGCAAATTGCAAATTAAATAAAAAATAATAAACCATTTTTATATGATATAACTAGAGTAATTAGTTGCATCACTAATTACTACAACCATTGAAAAGATTTTCTTACATGATCAACTAGTATTAATAATATAATTGTTTTCTTGAGTTTCATTTATGGTGTTAATTATTGTTGAAGACATCATCTATTTGCATTGAAAATAATAAAATCTTTTAGGTTTATCTTCGACTGATCAGCAAACAAAAAAAGATACTAGGATCTTGTTGATATTTCATTTTTTTCCAAATTCTTGCTAGTCAATACTTCTGTTGATAATATATTTGTTGTTGGTTTTCTTCACATGAAAAATGGAAAAGAAAAATATTGATTATAATTGAAACAATCAAACCAAAAATGGCACCACAGAATATTGATAATAATAACAATCTGTAATCCCACTTTCTGAATTTTCGCCAATAATTACTATTACTACTGCAAAGTCATCCGAATTTTTGATAATTGCTTCATATTTGATATAAAATATATATTAATATTAATATTTTTATAAAAAAATAACAAATGAAAAAATTTTATTAGCCTCATTTCTTCCATGAACTTTTGCAAACATTTTTGAAATATTGTATATGATGGTTTAATATGACAAGGTGTATAATTTTCTGTATAGTTGGCTTGGTTTAAAGACCTCCTAAATTTTGGGCAAATTTTAAAAGTATAGAAGTCACTTTCTGTCCTACCTTTTAAAAAAATAGCTCTATTAGTTGATAGAATATGTCTTTAGTTTTAATTTAATAGAGATTTTCTCAAAAAAATTATTTGTTGTAGAGTTCTATTCTTTTTTAAAACGTGTACTTTACTATGCTCGCGAGGAATTTGTCCACTAAGATCATTTCTAAATTTAGGAAAAATATTACCAAATTTAGACTAGCTCTTGAATATCGTATCTAAATTTGGCAGTAAGAAAACTAAAATCACGTGAAGTCCTATTTTTGAACGAATTACAAAATTGCTATTTTGAATTTGGCTGCATGGCACAGCAATAGGAGGTTTTTAGACTGAGCCAACCATAGGGTATTTTTTTTGTTTATCCTGTGAAACATATCCTTATTGCCTTTTTTATACTATTTTTAGAAGGTGCTATCTTTCGGAAGTGATATCTTTCCAGACTTTACATTAACTCAGATGGCACATTTGCACTATATAAGCAATTAATTGATTATAAATGTTCTGCACCATAACACTAGTGTTACACTGACATTTACTGCAGCAATAACCTATCTATCTATGAAGTTGGGGTCCTGATAATTAAATTTATTAATTTACAAATTTCATAGTGAAAAAAAACTTAGACATCAGCTGTTATGGTTATTGGCATAACACAGTGCCTACCTTTAATTATCAGAGATGAATTATTTTATTTGATTGTTATATTTGCAAAGAAATGAAACTTTTTCCCTCTAACCTTTTATATTCTTCAATCATGGATTTGTCAATAATAAAGGCATCATCCTTATCTTTTGAACATTTGCCCAAGAGGCACTCACCTACTAAGAGCAACGTATGCTTGCCCAGGAGAAAATATCTGTGAGCCTAAAGCAATTGAAGTGTTCAATGAAAAGAAATTTTACAAATGGAATTGGTTTCTTGAAGCATTCAAATATAGAAAATCAGTGTAATTTTTTTACAATTCAAACATCTACAGTATCATTCCAGAATTCACATAAAAATGAAATATTCAAAATAAATACACAAAGGAAAATAGTTAAAGGAAAAAGGCCTTTACAACCCAACAAAAAAAGATTTTATAGAATTCTGTTTGTTTTCAAATATATAAATTGTTAATTATAAAAGCAAAAAATCAAATGAATCTTTAAATTTCTTTACTAGAAGTATGATTTATGACAGTGACTTCATCATTGATGTTACTTATCATTTAAATAAAGGTTAATATTAATATATCCAAGTTACATTGAATTGTTGGTACTGCCACAGCTGGGTCTAAAGGTTTAATATGTGTTGTCAATTGGAAATTGTGGGTTTAAATTATAAAAATATAAATTCATTCTAAAAAAAAAAAATATCCATTGCCATTGCCATTGCCACTTCCTCAATCTAACCCTACTATGTTTTCTTTTGCCCTCGCTACCCTTAGAATTTTTACTAGTCTTAGGAATGTGTCACATATATCTTCTCCAGTTAGATCAAACATTCTTAGGATATAAACTAAAAGTTTATAAATACACCAGAAAAATTTGTAAAGAGTAAAGTAACAATTGATGCAAAAATCATCACAAGTGTCACTGGAACAAATAAAAATGATCTGATACCAATAAAAAAGCCTTTGATCGAAATGATGCCTATGCCAGCAACCAGAAGAGTAATACTTATTGTAATGAATATGTATGCCAATAAAACAGTAAAAGGTATGGCATTAAATACAACTACAGCATAAGTAAACCAACCAAAAGGTGGAAATTTTTCCCAAACAAGATTTATTGTTTTTTGTATATAATATCCAGGATATGCATCAATTTCTTTTCTATAGTCAGGACATCTATAATGGTCAATGATTATCACATGACTTTAAAAGCTTATAACTCCTTATTAAAAAAAAAGTAAACCGATAGAATTAAAGCTAAAGACCTAAGCTTAATTTCCAACAATTTACTTTTTTAATTTTATTAAAAAATTTTCGGGTTATAAGGTTTCAAAGTTAGGCCATTTTATATATGTCTATATGTAAATTGTAAATTTTCGGAATGATCTTCCTTTGTAAAAGGCTGATGATCGTCTTAAAATTTTTTCGTGATACGGAAATCTTTCCAATAAAAGAAATCTGATTACTTAATTAGAAAGATCTTCTAAAATTTTAAATTTCGGACTGAGACATTTATAGATGACTTGAACCATATCTCGGTTGCTCAAGCAATTACTGAAGTTGTTCCTTGATTTTTTTCAGAAACTTTAAAAGCTATTGTTGAAGTTGGTACTTCTGGTGTTGATTGTGCAAAATTTGAAATTGCACTTTTCTTTTTTTTTTGTAGATCTTTCAAATGATCCTTATCATTGTCGCCCATTTCAAAAAAATTTATATTATTTTTAAAAAATTTAAATTATAAACATACATTTATATTTATATATTTATTTTTATTTATTTATTTATTCATAAATCAACAATTAAACATATCATCATCAACCTTTTATAATAAAGAAATAAATAAATCTTGTTAGATTGATCCAATCAATTCACATTTTTAAGAATATTATTAATATTATTATCAATAACAGGGTTGCTGGTGTAAAGGAATAAAACTCCAATTTAATAAATGATTGTTTTGCTAAAGTTGACTTAACACATCACCAATAGTTCAACCAAGGTGATCAACAATAAAGAAGTTAAATAAAAAATGGAAGATCAAAAGATCTATTTTTTAATTCACTTTGAGAATAATATTGCTTGGAATATATTTTTTGATTTCAAAGAACATTGATGATGAGTGACGATGATTTAGTTCGTGAAATTCGGACACATCTAGAAGAGTTTCTCATTAGAATTATCTACATCTATCAATTTTCTGTGTTGTACTACTATTATTACTATGTTCCTATAAAAAATTCTTTCAACATGAGTGTGTTTAGTTATGAATTGGTGTTTTGTATTGATGAAAGTCACCTTCTTACTGAAACTTGGAAATAACATTACATATATCATTAATATTAAATGGTTTGTTTTTTAACATATTAGGAATAGTACTTTAAAAATCCGGATTTTCTTTTAAAAATTTTTATTATTAACTTCTGGAAAAGAGTTGCCGGATGTTTTTCCATAAAATTTCCTTTTAAAAATTACTAATGTAAAAAAAAGCATGCCAAGATGTGTGAAATTAATAAACTCGCTCTACGGGACTGTAGTCTAGATCCAGAATGATGTGTGTGTTATGTTTTAACGAATTAATTGACAATTAACAGCTTTCTTTAATCATGAATGGATTCAAGAGAATACAATCAATCTTTACGAGTCATCAGTTGAGGAATTTGTGCTTATAATAATATTAGAAGAAAATTGGATGAAATTAAATTTGGAATGCAAAGTTATTCGATGGAATAATAAAGAATTAGAAAAGATGGAAACAAAAATGATTGGGAGAACTTCATTGTTTTTTAATTATAAATGAGTGTCCTGAACCCACTTTATTGTGCTACACGATAAAAAATTGAAAATTAAACCTCATATAATATTTATTATTCATCAATATTAAAAGAAATCTTTATAGTTAATTGATTAATTAGTCGCTTCGATTTGTATTTTAGTAAACGCAATTTGTTTCGATTTCTTTCTAAACTCAAAACTTGTTTACAGGTTAGTTGATTATAGATTTTTGCTTTTCGTTTGAACCGAGAAAGAATTAGATCTGTTTAATTTGAATCGAAAATTAGTAAAGTAAAACAATTTTACATATATTTATTTATAAGAATGAATGTTTTTATTTCATTTCAATTTAAAAATACGTACATGCACACGCACTGATTTAATTGATTTATAAATTTATTTATTGGAAAGGTTAAATTTATAATTTTAATTATATTTGATTTAAAAAGTAAATTGAAAAATATAACCAATTTTTCCTTCTTCGTTTAAATTATCACAGAATTTATTAAATTGAAATATTACAAGATGAACGAATATCATCATTTAGAGGTAAAAAATATTTTATTAATCAAATCAATTATTTTGATAGTGGACAGGTACAATAATTATATATATTTTTATGAGATCAATAGATACGATCAATATTTGAGAAAGAAACATTTCCAGTTAGGAATTTACGACTTTGGGTATGTTGATAACATATAGTCTTCTTTGCCCAATATAAACAATTATTAAACAAAAAACTTTTTTGTCAAAATATGTAGAAAATGAACTTGATGGCTGTATCAGAATGTCAAAAAAACATTTTTTATCTAGCTGTTAAGGATACAATTCATGTTTATCGGTTAAATTTGTTAAATGAAAAACCTTTTACGGATCCAATTAAAATACTAACAAGACCCAACAACAACAACAATAATGATGATGATTATGATTATGATAATAATAATAATACTGATGAAACTGAAGAAGATGAGGTGAAAATTTTATTAAATGATGAAATTTTCCTTTATTTATACATTTAATATTAACTTATTTTTTGATTTTAATTCAAGAGGCATGTCATTAATGCTATAAAAGTTGGAAAAATTGGTTACGAAGAAGTTCTTGTTAGCGTTAATGAACCTGGTGATATTGTGGTCTGGTACACATCAAATCTTGATAGGAGACCATTACATTTCAGGTACATACAACCTTTTTAAATCAATTAATCAAGTATTTATTTATCAAGGAAATAAGGAAATGATTTATACATTGCATATAACATCATAAATAAAGTCATAATACATCGACTTGGGGTATAGCATTGAATGGACCAAAACGTTTATTAGCAGTTAGTGCAAATTCACATGAAATAACCATTTTTGATCTGAAAGGTGGAAATTCAATATATTCAGATGAAAATAATGACGATCAAATTGAAAAAAATCATGATGATTCTGATGATAGTTTAGATGGTTCACAACAATCAAGAGGAAGGAGAGTGAAGATGAGATACGCAACAACGACAACAGAACTATCATCATTACAAAATAAATTTGGAAATGATGAGGCTAAATATATATTAAAAGGCCATAGTCACAATATTCCAAATATTTCATTTAGTAATTGTGGTCGATTTTTAGTTTCTTGCAGTCTTGATCGAACATGTAGAGTTTGGAATGTTAAAACTGGTGAGGTAATCAGCACAAGAAAAGTTAGTAGTCATTGGTAAGATATATATGTGTGTGTGTAATTGATTGCTAAGTGTCTGTACTATTATTATTTATCAATAATAGTAATGATTATCTTTATTATTATTTTTTTATTCATAATTATTATAATTATGTAAAGGGGATGGTCGGCATGTTTTGTATCAACACATTCTTTTGTAAAAGTAAATTCTAACATTGAATTTATCAAAGATCCATTTGAAATAAGAAGAAACAGAAGAGTTGTAGGTGTATCACCTTGGTCTCCAAATTGGTCACCACAATATCCACCACCGATACCAACACAACAACATGCACAAACATTGCCACATTATTCAGCGACATCACCGCCTCATTTTGCACCAACAATACCAACATATTCACCACCAATATCGCCGTCATATTCACCAACATCACCATTATATTCGCCAACATCGCCACATTATGACCCAACATCACCAACACATTATACACCAACATCGCCACGATACAACCCAGCATCACCAATTCGTGACGATTCGCGTACTTCAGATATTCTACAAAATCTAAGGAATGGTAATATTATAATTCGTAATCCTCGTGTTGCAATTCAACTTTTAAATAATATTCATGCCTACCAAGATATTATGGCTTCTTCAGAAACAGAATATGAAGACGGGTATTATGACAATACGCATGAAAATGATGACGAGAGTCAAATATCAGAGAGTCAAAATGACGAAGGTGAAGAAGAGTTGGAAGTGGAAGTGGAAGTGGAGGAGGAAGAGGAAAGAAGAACCGGGGGTAATAATGATAATTTATATTACGTTGATACCTTTTTTTTTATCAAAAAAAAACCCCCCAATTTAAAGTTTAATTATAATTCACTTTCAATTTGAATAAGGTTGGTTTCATGACGCTGAAGCAATGAATGACGACGATGATATTTATGGTGGTGAAATAAGCAACGGCACTATTGACGAAGAAGCGTCATTATCAATTTCAGAACGTTCTTCTGATGGTATATGATTATTATTTCTATAAAACTTTATATATGAAATATACAATAAATTTTAAATTAAAATTATTCATGTATATTATATATAGCATCTACAGGTAATTCGCAAATACTAAACTTGGAGTTATCACCACCCAGGGTATATACAGATATAAATGATGAACTAGTATATATTCACACGCCAATTCCAGAATTACCGCCGCCAACTAACCTTCCACCTGATTCCTCATTTACAGGTAAATTCTCCATCTTCTAGAACTATTCAAATCTTAAATATTTTTTATATAATTAATTTTAAATTTATTAAAATCTTTAGGAGGTTTAAGTGCGACAACAAGCAATACAGAAAATAATAATAACAATAATCGTAATAATCGTAATAATTTTTTGCCTGAAATAAATTATTATTCAGATCTAGCACCTCTGCCACCACCACTACCATCATCATCACAATCACCACTAATACCACGATCACCTCGTAGTGGAATAATGCACACAATACCATCTTGGGTACAAATGCAAGAGGGTATTAGCGAATACAGATCAATTGATATAGATCCAGATCAAAATGATCAAGCCGAATCAAATCTTATGCGACGATCACGGCCTAGAATCCTAATTGATCCAGTACAAAATGATCAAGCTGAAACTATACATATGCGATCAACACGTTCACCAACTTCGCCATTTATGATTCCGTTCGATTCAATTAGATTATCAGACCAAGACGATAATAATAATGATAATAATGACAATAATAGTATTAGCAGTAGTAATAGTATTAGAAATTCAACAACAACTAGAAACAATAAAAACAAAATATTATCCACATCGTCTAAATCACAGCCACAATTATCATCATCATCGGATGTTAAAACAGAAAATGAATTGCCAATTGATCATCTTGTGCTTTTCACTTCTCAAAATGATTTGTTTCTTTTAGATCCAATATCTGGTTTGAAAGTTCTTTTATACGAGAAAAATATTTGTTCAAGTCGTGATTCTAGGAATATTATTGGTTTGAATGATTTTGATCGATTAAATATGGTCGAGGTAATAGATAAGAAATAAATAAAAATTTTCCCCTAAAAATTATTTTTATTTATTTATTAATAAATTATTTTGTATTTATGATGATTAGTGGATCCCAGAGTTTTCATTGGCTGTTGTGGCTAGTCAAAAAGGAAAAGTAGCATTGGTGAGATTGGTTATGTATGTATTTAGAATTTGCGCATATTGCAATTTCTAAAACTTTATAAATATTTTAAATATTTATTTTTATTATTATTGTAGGAGTGCTGCAAATAATGACAAAAAAAAATATTCTTTCGTAAAGGAAAAGTTTTTGCCTGAAACCAATTTACCCAATGCATCATTATTAGGTAATAATTATAGGCCATTATTTTAATTAATTATTGTATTTGATAATTCTATTAACATGTTATTTAAAATTGTCTTTTAGGCATGTTTATAGTAAAGAATAATCATTTACAAGACCCATCACTATTTCATTATTTTCTATATTTAATGTATTATGATGGTAGTATGTATTGTTATGAGATACGTAAATCAGGAAAATCAAATCCTTTAAGATTAGATAATATCTTCATATAATATAATATAATAATAATAATAATAGTAATAATAATAATAATAATAATAGTAATAATAATAATAATAATAATAATAATAATAATAATAATAATAATAATAGATTTCCCTGGATGCTTTAATATTTTTTTTTTGTATTATACAAAAAATATTTTTAATTAATTAATTGTAATTTTTTAATTTCCTCCTGATAGTTTATTATAATTTATTTTATTTGTTGGCGGGATTAAAAATATTGGAAATGGTCTTGTAAATTTAGTCATTTAATTCTATTTATAATTGAACCTTATTTAAACCGAGTTCTCCAATGTACAATCAACCCCCTCCCCTAAAATTGAGCTTTCTGAGGATAGATGATTTGTACCATTTGGAATAATAATAATACTAATACTAACTAATGACAAAATAATGTTGCATGATTTTCATTGTACATATCATGTGAAAGTCATAGGCATGCAATTGGGGAGGTTGGTTTTATATAGTTGGGAATGAAAAAAGACCGTGCAGTGCAGGTATAGAGGGGTGCACTTATCTCTTAAGTCTCAAGCTTGGGAATGAGTGAGTGCGTGCATTTAGAGAGGGCATGCATTTACGGAGGTGAATTTAGGGGGTTGACTGTAGTACAATTGGTGTAGTCTTGGACCTAAGGTTAGAAAAAATGTCTGTATGAGTTACTTTTTATGCTCATGAAAAATTATAGACATTGAAGTAAAAACTAGTTAATGGAAACCATGCAAATATTACCCAGTTCCTTTGCAAAATTGTTTAGTCTAAAATAGTGAAAATTTGCATCTTGCATGATGTAATAAGGGACTCTAAATATCTTTACCCAATTTGATAATAATCAATGTTATATGGTGAATACTGTAACACAAACCAGACAAAGTGAACATTTAAGTCAGGATTTCAGAGATCAAAAATCTAGCAAATTAACATCACAATTATACAGGAGGCATTCATTTTACCAACAACTCAGGAGGTTACATTTAACCTCCACATTCTAATAAAATGCTGAAGTGGTGCCATGTGTTGTTGGTAAAATGAACTGTTGGTAAAATGATTGTTGGTAAAGTAATACATACCCAATTATATTATATATATGATTTTATTATACAAATTATATTTTTAAAAAATATGTACTATATATTTTTAATCAAAAACATTTAATATTTGTATTAATTTTGGACTACAATATTAATATTATTTATTATAAATATATAATTATGTGTCAAGGTAGCATGACTGAAATACAAAATAATTTCATTAGGTTTACTAATTTGATTAAATAATTCGGATTTTCCATCAACAATTTCCAAAATCTTATTAAGCTGCAATTCAAATATGAAACATTTGATTATTGGAAATTGGCAGATGTTGAAGCATGCATGCTACCATGAACACTTGCAGCCATTCTCACACATTCTTCATGTTCACAAGGCTAATCTGACTGAGGCATCCTTGATGATACAATGATGCAACAGAATTCCAGGAGAGGGATGTTTGGCCCCAGAGTTTACTGAGACTGCATCAATTGTCAATGACACTTCCACTAATCTTCCCTCACAGTACCCAACCAGAGAAGGCTACTGACATGTTAGCCAAAAAGTCATCTGCAATGATCTACCTCTAAGGTAAGGATGGCTCTGTGATCAACTTGCAACTCTGTTGATGAATGGTAGTGCCATGTAAACATCCAGATCTATCAAAGCAATGAGAATCTGCAACTCATTTCAAGCTCAGGAGGTTGCAATTCAAGCAGGTTGGTGACCCTGAAATTGCATTTGTTAAGAAGAAAGTTGTAAAATAGTGTTTGTTTTGTATATTTATTTCCCTAAATTGTTTCTTTAATCCTAACTAATTTATAATTTTGGGTAGGGGACTGAATGGGTTTTGCCCAATCAGTCCTAAGGTTTCTGGCCAAAACTCTCTTTATTAATAGCCAAAATTGCTGAAACACTTTGGGCAAAATTACTTTTTTATAAGCCCAACTATTTTTTGTTATTAGCTGAAATTGGGTGAAATTACTTTAAAGTTGTTTAAGTTAAAATTAGTTGATTGGTATAGTTTTTTAATGTTCATGTTATACATGCAGCCCAAATTGGTTTGGTGATTTTGATGGTCAAAATTATTCCAATTTTGATGGTAGAAAGTAGAAATTAATTACAGCATTCACTATTAAAAACATAAGTGTAACACCCCTTTACTACATGTGTAACCCCCTTTATGACAGTGTCAAAATACTTTGGGCTGCATGTATAAGTTCATGTTTATAAAAAATGCTGAGAAGCCCAAATTGCCTAAACTAGTTTGGGCTTTGAGAAAACAGTTCTGACTGGAAACCTTAATCAGTAGTGCAAGCATGTAAAATACAGCTTGTGATGTGTCCAATTAATATATAAGATAAAATAAATGTAAAAGTCCAATATATAAATCTCCCTGTATCTGCACACAGCTCAGGGTTCTCATACTCTAGTGTGGACTATAACCCACCCGAAAATGATGAGCGTTTTGCATTTGCCTCATCATTCGAGTGACGTGCATTTTGCATTTGCCTTGTCAAAGATGGGATGTTTATAGTCTACTTATCGGATGACGTACGTTTTGCATTTGCCTCGTCAAAGATGAGGCACGTAGTGCCGAATTGTTATCCTATTTGGTAACCTGAGAATGAGGCACATAGTGCCGAATTGTTATCCTATTTGGTAACCCAAGGATGAGGCACGTAGTGCCGAATTGTTATCTATTATGTTATCTTAGAATGAGGCACGTAGTGCCGAATTGTTATCCTATTTGGTAATCCGATGATGAGGCACGTAGTGCCGAATTGTTATCTATTATGTTATCTTAGAATGAGGCACGTAGTGCCAAATTGTTATCTATTATGTTATCTTAGAATGAGGCACGTAGTGCCGAATCGTTATCCTATTTGGTAACCCGAGGATGAGGCACGTAGTGCCGAATTGTTATCATTACTTGGTAATACGTAAAAGCACAATTTTTTCTTACCTCTTTCCTTATATTATTCTACCTTTGGGTATTACCAAAAGTTTGCTATATTTTTCGATTCTAGAACTCTTTCTCATATAATTAATGATTTCAAATACTTTGCTTTATGTTAAAAAATTGGATTATATTTTTGATAACTTTTGCGTATTACATTTTTGATAACTTTTGCATATTACATTTTTGATATAATTGTGCTCAAGTACTTTGCTTTACATTAAAAAATTTGATCGCTTTTGTATATTATTTTTTTGATAACTTTTGCATATTACCGAAAGCTTGCTATATTTTTCGATTCTAAAACTCTTTCTCATATAGTTACTGTCTTCGAGTACTTTTATATCATGTCAAAAAATTAGATCACATTTTTGATAACTTTTGCATATTACATTTTTGATAACTTTTGTATATGACTGAATTGACATAAAGTACTAAAATCATGTGGTACAAAAATGGTCATAGTTACCTATCCTATGATCTGAATTAATTTTCGATTTGAATTTTTTCCAGCATTTATTGTAAGAGGTAACATCCCTTACCTGAGATAAATGACTAGTTAAATGTAACAATTTCTCTCCACCAGAGATTATTACTTAGCTAGATTTTATGCATATTCAATAAGGGCTAAAGTGCGGTTTTTTAATTCTTTTTTGTATGGAGTAGTAGGAACACCCATTTTAGCTTCGAAATTTCGCTTGTGTTCCAAGAACTCAGCTTCATTCATACTCTCGCGCTCTTTTTTCCAGTAATTTTGGTTATCCCGCAATTCAAAGGCAATCTTGGTTCGCCATTGTTCTAACCTTTCCTGAGACATTTGGAATTTTTGTTGTAAAAGAAGGATAAGATTGTCTATATCAGATTCATTTTTAATGAGAAATTCTGAAGATAGAGTAGTTAAGGATTCGGGTATTTTTTTCTCAACTATACTGGCTTTACTAATAGTAGTATCAACATGGCATCTATCTTGGGAAAGACCAGCAGATTGATTACAGGCTGGTATTTTCAAAGGTAAATCTTTTTCATCAATTGCATTACTAGATGAGTCAGAAATTTTATGCTCAACATGTTCTGAAGTAATATTATTAATAATAGGTATAGAATCGAAAAGATCCTGAATCTCATCACTTACCTTTGGCTTATATGATGGAAGAACTGGAGCTATAGGGTAATATTCAGGATTATCTAACTTTCTAGTCATTACTTCTTCTTGATTATCAAAACCACGACTATTATATGGTTTTCGGTTAATTTGATATGAATATTTCCAAATCTGTTGTCCTTTAGGTCCTACCAATTTTCATTCACTTTTTATAGTATAACCACACCAATTACCAACAATTGCATTAATTGCCTTTATAGCTGATTTAAGATCTGGTATTTCTTTTGCACGAGACTTAAAGCCAAAGAGCAATAAGGATTGATTTCGAATTTCTATAAATTTTTCACAGGATTGTGTGAATGCTTCTGATACAATATTGCCAGGAAGGATACGTTTATCATCTATACCAGTAAAGCCCAGTACTTGAAAGAGTTCTCTTATAACCTTCCAGTGATTTGCTGAATAAGTTTTACGCAAGTCCTCCACTACTGATTTTTCAAAATTCTCTTCGGCTTTATAACAGGTGTCTTCCCATTGTGCGAGATCCTTAGCTTCCAATCCTTCTATTGCACTTTCTTCATCATAACCAAGCCTCCGAAGATGAGATAGACGTAAGAAATGTTTTCGAGGTTCGGGAGATCCAAAATGTTCCACAAATTTTTTATTACAAAGTTTATCCCAATCTTCGATGCTCATATCCATATCTTTACCGGTATAGAGACTTCGCAAATAGAAACGTTTAAGTGCCATGGTATCTGGGATAGAGCATTCTTGATCAAACTTAAGAATTTCGGCTTCTTCAGGGATGAGATTTTGGGAAGTTGCAACAGCACAAAAATCCGTTTCCTTGATAACTGATGCTTCAACCCTGACCTCATTGCGGACCCTTTTGCGATTCCCTATAACTTCTTGGCTCTCGTCCATTTTTATAAGTTGAAGAGAAGCACCCGTACTGGCTATAAGACTGCATGATATCTCAATGAAATTTCTTTCAGATAGACGTTTTCGATGTTCAACTTCAAGGAATGATGTTACAGCAGGAGATTGATCAAGTTTATATGAAACAATATTTTTATCCCATTCACGATGGCCCTTAATTGCTGTAGGTAGATCAGTAGGACGAGCACTTTCAAGTTCAGCACGAATATTTTCATGACCTGGCGAATGAGAAAGTTCATTGGAATTTTTTTGATAATAGAGAGATAGTATACGCTTTTTACAATCACGAATTCAAAACATCATTTGGATAAAGGCTTCAACATTAACTGGAGTTGCAATATTTGTAATGCCTATAACCACATCAAAGTGATCAGTCTTTTCAAAAGATATGCCCGCTTCCACTGTACTCATATAAGCTACACAATCAAGTTCACCCCAAGCAGTATTAATATCTAAAAAGTCTTTTTTTCGTTGTTTTCCATCCATATCTCCATAATAAGCACTAGCTTTGAAAGATAATTTAGAAGCTTTTTCTACTAATGCTCAAGCCATATTAGAACTTGTTACAACAAATGCCACACGTTTGCCTTGTCTGAGAAATTCAAACCCAATTCGCATAGCTTCAGCTCCACTATTTGGGTCGTAAAGATACTCAACAGTCTTACCTATAAGTGGTTGGAATTTATTATCAATTACTCGGATAGTGGAGCTAGTGCCAAGGCACATATTTTCACCACAATAAGCCTTGAGAAATGTTAGTGTACTTTCATTTGCAAATGCATCCATGGCTAAAACATGTTGAGCCGATTTTAACACATCACGCATTGCATTTTCAGATTCCCGCGCATTATTCATTTGACGTTGAATTGCATTGACTTCATCTAAAATAGCTACAATCGGACGGGCTGAGAATTCTATACGAGAGAGACTCTCAACTTGAACTATGATAATATCCCACTTATCTATGGACAAGCTCTGTTCATCTTGATAATTACAGATTCTGAGTCCGGATAATTTAAGATCATTAATTTTACCCATTGATTCATTACTAAGAGTTTTTCGGTAAGAAATCCAGATGACGCAAGGCATATTAGCTTTATTCTTGGTTAAGGAATTGAGATATTTTCTCAGACCTTTTGTTTTTCCCGTCATCATAGGAGAGCGGATCAAAGTTGTACTGGGTTCTTTGCACAAGAAATTTGGATAAGCTCCTGGGAAATCTTCCATTTCCTTTACATTAATAACCTCTCCAGATAATTCAGGAAGTGGACGTGGATTTAATACAGCTTTGGCAATTCTTTCATTTAATCCCAATTTAGGTTTCACTATTGATTTAACTTTGTCTGATACCTTATCAAAGCTTAATCCCTTGTGATCTGGCTTATATTGTTTTTGTCAATAGCACTTAAGTATAAAACGCCCATTTTTTCAAATGAATCCATAGAGTTGATCCTTATCATGTTTAATGTCACATATAGGGCATTCTTTAACGGATTGTGCTTGAAAGTTGATGAATCCCTTCTCGATTCTTCCAATCTGAAGCCACCCATATTTTACAATAACTAAATT